CCTGCTTAGATATACAACCTTGCCCGAGTCACTTCATTTTCCAGTTATTTCAGAAGAGTGTTGTGAGCATTCAAGGAGATGCAGCACGATACAAATAGCTAACATTTATTGAGCTTGCTCCGTAGTGCAAACAAGCTTCCAAGTGCTTTATGTGTATTATCTCATTCACAACTACTCAGGGACATAGCTATTGTTAATCTCTCCATTTTGTAGGTGAGGATACTGAAGCCCAGAAAGATTAAGTAATTTTCCCAAGGTCACAGAGTTTACAGTAACTGATGGAGCTGGGAAACAAACCCAGCATCTGCCTCCAAACCATACTTCCTCTTTTTTTTTTTTTTTTGCCACACCCAACGGCATGTGGGATCTTAGTTCCCCGACCAGGGATCGAACCCACACCCCCTGCAGTGGAAACATGGAGTCTTAACCACTGGACCACCAGGGAAGCCCCCAAACCATACTTTCTTAACCACATAGTAGGTGCTCAGCGAATGTAAGTTGGTGGAAGTATGAAGAGGCTTTCATAGATTTAATTGGGGGAAGATGTCTAATAGGACTTCAAATTCAACATGTCCATGGTTGAGTTCCTGGTCTCCCTCATACCCCTAATTGTCCCCAGCCTGCTCCTGAGTCCTCATCTCAGCATCTGAGGTGCACAGGCCAGAACCTTTGGTGCCCTCCTTGCCTTCTGTCTTTCCCTCACACCCCACATCCAGTCAAGCTGCTAATCCTGCCAGCTCCACTGGCAGTGGTGTAGTTAGAATCTGACCATTTCTCACTAGCTCTACCACTACACCTCTGGTGCAAAGCCACCATCATTCCATCACTTGGATTAATGCAGTAGCCTCCTAACTAGTCCTTCTACCCTACATCTTTTCTCAGCACAGCAGCCAGAGGGATCCTGACTTAAAACATAAGTCAGATCATTTCATTCTGCTCAAAACCCTTTAATAGGTCCCGTCTCACATTGAGTAAAAGCCCACAGGGTCCTACAGTTTCAACTCCTTGTCCCTGCATCCTCTGTCTTTACCTCTAAGCCTCACCTCCGGCTTTACCCCCTTGCCCCCTTCATTCTGCTCTCCTGGCCTCCTTGCTTTTCCTGAAAACACCAGACACAATGTTGATTCAAGGCCTTTGTGTTTTCTCTTCCCATCATTTAAAATGCTTTTGTCCCCTCACCTCCTTCAGGTCTTAGCTTAGATGTCCCCTTAGTGAGTCTTTCCTTGGCCCTCAATTTAAAATTGAGCCATGCCCCTTCCCTGTCTCTGGCATTTCCTAATCCCTTTCCTCTCTTTATTGTCCTTGTAATACAATCCCTGTGTACCATAGTGTTTTGCTTATTTGCTGACTGCCTCAGTTTTCTCTTCTGTAAAGTGGGAGAATGTTGATAATAGTAGGTTGTTTAGAGGATTACATGGGTTGTTCAGAGGATTAAATGAATTAATATATGTAAAGCTTTTAGAACAGTGTTCAGTATGTAAAACATGTCTGTGTTAACTATTTTTTCTTTTTTAACTATTATTTTTTGATTAAGCAGTGTGCTGGGTAATGGGATATAAAGGTTATCCTCAAAAAACATAGTCAGCAGCATAGAAAAGCAGAATGGTTACTGCTTTCAATTCTTAGCTGCTCAGTAACCACAGTTTCTGCACAAATGAAATTTGTGCCTCTGGTCTGAAATACTTGCCAGCACGGATAGGCTATTCTGACTGCAAATTTAAAGCTTAAAGAGTTCAAGTTCAAAGATAGAGCTCCTACATCAATTGTACTTCAAGTGTCATGCATACCCCTTGGCTTTAAGGAACAAGTATAATAGCTCATGAAGAAGTTGAAAATATTGCCTGGCTACAGTGCCTGTGAGTTCTGGCCATCCAGAGCCGCACAGGTCTGGACTATAAATGATGATCACTCAGGGTACAGGGCTGTGGGGGACGTGCTATGTTGACCTAACTCCACTTTACATGGTGATGCTTTAGCTAGTTGGTTTGTCCCCAAGTGTCTCAGATCCACTGGCAGTATATTTCTTCCTTCACTCTCAAGCTTGTCGTGAACAAGTGATTTACTACTAGCAAGTGAGCACTTTATTCCCAAAAGGGAACATATTTTTCTCATCATGCTCCATTCATTTTTGAGTGCTTGCTTATCATTATAATTATTCATTTTCAGGCTTTCAAGACATTCACACACAAACACACTCTCAGCTGTAGTTTGGCCAGAATCAAGGATATATGGGATCCTCCTACTCCGAGTAATGCCCACCGTGTCCTTGGTTCACTCATTCAGCAAATATTAATTAAGTAACTGTGTATTCAAGCAGATACTTCCTTACATTCACACGGAGCTTATGTTTTAGAAGAGTCCATATCAAGACTCTTACCTTATTTTCCCCAAATTGGCATTCTTTTCATCATAGAGTACCTTTTAAAGACATCTGGATAATCTAATTCTAATGAGTAATAGTTTGGAATGTCAGATATCACTCTGAAACATCAGTGGAGTTGCTCCCAGCCAGCCAGACAAGCTGGCTTTCTGTAAGTCATAAATATTAAGGTGCCCAGGGCAAATCGCCTTTTTCCTGGAACCGAACGTACTTTCTAGATAGTTATATTTCTCAGGTGGGTGACCTAATCCTCACTATTGAACATATGTTCTATTCTTTACCATATTTATATTCGTCTATAAGCTCTGAAGATATTTATCTCAGTTCAATTAGAGAGTTGGTGAGTGAGGACATTTCAAAACAGAGGGGAGAAAAGTAATTTCCTTCCATAATAACATTCAGCTTTGGCAACTGGGAATGAATTTAGTAGCTCTATTAAGTTGGAGTATTGGCTAGCATGTTATTATATTTCTGTGCAGTGTTAAGATAATAGCTCTTTAGAGTGTGCATAATCCCTTCCTATGTGTACAATAGTAAATAATTTTACTTAAATAAGTCTAATGCTTCAGAAGAGTTCTCAAAAATTTTGGCTGTTGATGTACATTTTTGAAGTGCTTTAGGAATTAAAGTACGTGTGCAGTGCCTTAAACACAAGGCATTGCACACGTACTTTAATTCCTAAAGCACTTGAAAAATGTAGCCTTCTGGAGAGAGCTAGAGAAGTGAACTCTTAAAAATGGAAATTTGGAAATCCTTTTTGTGTGTGTGTGTGAAGGAGAGAAAAGGAAAGAAGAAAACAGTAACTGAGATTCAGACAGGAGTCTGCTGTAGTAATAATTTTAGTGGCAGAGCAAGCTGCAGATGAGAGATGGTTAGTAGCCTGATAGTATTTAATCTTCAAGTGACATTTGGTGCATATGAAGCAAGTTTCCATAGTCTCTTAAAAGGAATATGGCCATGTAAAAATATATTTTAAAGAGACTGGTACAATTTAACGAGCAACACTGATAGAGTTAACACACAGGATATCAGTAGAGTTATCTAGCCAGCCAGGCAGCCAGCCTTCTGAAAGCCATTGAAATAAAGCTCCTAGGATAAATCAGCTTTTCCCAAGGGCCAGAAATGAAATTGAAAAATAAATTTTAAGCATATTAAATATTTCGATCATCTGCTTTCTGAAAAGAGAAGTTAAGATTACCAGCCTGATTTTCTGGTTCTAGCTGAACTCTAACACGCTTGTATATATTTATTTACTGGTGTGTAGAATTTGAAATCCCAAATCACCTCTCCACTTTTTAAATCACTTTTTTCTTTTCTTTGCCATAGGACCTGTTTACACTGGGCATGTAAACGCAATCATGGTCAGGTGGTCTCTTACTTGTTAAAATCAGGAGCTGACAAAGAGATTCTTACCACAAAGGGAGAAATGCCAGTCCAATTAACATCAAGGAGAGAAATTAGGAAGATTATGGGAGGTGAGTCTGTGTTTTGAGGCAACTTTTGATTTTGTCAACCTAATTTAAGACTTATGGTATTATTGTATATATTCTTTTTTTTTTTTTTTTTTTTTTTTTGGGTTAGCTGTCCAGCTTTCCTGATACCCCTTTTTTTTTTTTTTTTTTTGCGGTACGCCGGCCTCTCACTATTGTGGCCTCTCCCGTTGCGGAGCACAGGCCCCAGACGCGCAGGCTCAGCGGCCATGGCTCACGGGCCCAGCCGCTCTGCAGCATGTGGGATCCTCCCAGACCGGGGCACGAACCCGTGTCCCCTGCACGGCAGGCGGACTCTCAACCACTGCGCCACCAGGGAAGCCTTATTGTATATATTCTTGATGCCAAACAGCCAATCTGTTTGTATCTAAAAACAAGATAGTCTTAACTGTGCCAAGATAATTATTCCATACTGTTTCTGGAAAGGTAGGCATTATAAAGTTTTGGTTTTTTATCTGTAAACTTTAAGGTGATAAAAATGGTAACGATAAATGTGCAGTAAAAACGCTGATCAAAATATTTGTTGTATACCAAAGGACACTAGCTTTCACAAGATACTCTTTACTTTGTAATTTTTAAAGGGCTATGTAAATGTTCTGTGTTTCCGTCTTTTTAAGTGGAAGATGATGATGATGATGACCATGACCACCTCCCCCAGCTGAAGAAGGAGTCAGAGCTGCCCTTTGTTCCGAACTATTTGGCCAACCCAGCCTTCCCTTTCATCTATACCCCTGGGTCGGAGGATTCAGCCCAGCTGCAGAATGGGGGCCCCTCCACACCTCCTGCATCACCCCCTGCAGATGGCTCGCCTCCATTGCTGCCCCCTGGGGAACCTCCCCTGCTTGGGGCCTTTCCACGGGACCACACCTCTTTGGCACTGGTTCAGAATGGGGATGTGTCTGCCCCATCTGCCATACTCAGAACACCAGAAAGCACAAAACCGGGTCCTGTTTGTCAGCCACCGGTGAGTCAGAGTTGCTCCCTGTTCTCTTCTGTCCCGTCCAAGCCACCAATGTCTCTGGAGCCTCAAAATGGGACGTATGCAGGACCAGCGCCAGCATTCCAGCCATTTTTCTTCACCGGAGCATTTCCATTTAATGTGCAAGGTAACCTCTCATCAGCAAACAGCCTCTGCAAGAGGGCAGGTGGTGTCCAGAGGTCTAGTGCTTTACTTCCTGGTTTTCTGAGGAGTGGGGGTGGGATTTATTTATTTTGCGTCTGATTACAGACTTACAGAAAAGTTGCAAGACTAGTATAAGGAACTCTCTTTACTCAGATTTACAAGTTATCTTTTGCCCTTTTACCCTGAACTACTTAAGTGTGTTTTTCCTAAGAACAAGGATAGTCTCTTACATAATCACCGTATAATGAGAAGATTTAGAAAATATAACCTTGGGCTTCCCTGGTGGCGCAGTGGTTGAGAGTCCGCCTGCTGATGCAGGGGACACGGGTTCGTGCCCTGGTCCGGGAAGATCCCACATGCCACAGAGCGGCTGGGCCCGTGAGCCGTGGCCGCTGAGCCTGTGCGTCCTGCAACGGGAGAGGCCACAACAGTGACAGCCCGCGTACCGCAAAAAAAAAAAAAGAAAGAAAAGAAAGAAAATATAACCTTGACATAACACTATTCTCTAACCCATAGTTTATATTTAAATTTTTGTCAGCTGCCTCAGCAATGCCCTTTGTGGCTATCTTCACTCCCTCTACTCCTGTCCGCCTCCCAGGATCAACCATTGCATTTGCCTATCATGTTGTTATAGTCTCCTTTAATCTGAAGCATTTCCTCAGCCTTTAGCTATCATTTTAGACCTCAGATTTTTGAAGAGTCCAGGCCAGTTATTTTGTAGAATATGATTTCCCTTTCCCTTCTCCTCCATTTGAACTCACTGATTCTTATTTTATTTATTGGGTTATAATCCATTAGTATCATTATTTTGATGTTCAAATTATGCCACATTTATCCAGAGGGAGCCCCTTGGAGCTTGTTCTTGTGTCTCTTGGACATGTCCATCATTCTTGGAGCACTTCCTTACTTTGTGGTACAGCAAGATGTTTCAGGCTCCCTAGTATAACTTTCCCTCCCCGAGCCTTGAAATCAGCTGTTTCTCCAAGGAGCCCTGGATCTTTTTGGTGGAGAATGGTTTTCAGGAACCAGAACGTGAACACTAGGTGTGCTCACTGCTGCTAGCATCATTTCTTCTAGGCTCACTCAGAGGACAGAGTTAGAATAGAAAGAAGAAAGCAAGCAAACAATAAAGAGCAATTGAATGATAAAAAGAAAGATTCACCAGAAAGATATAACCTAAACATGTATGTACCTAGTAACATAACTTGAAAGCATTCTAAGTTCTCATTTAATTGTTACAACAAACTCATAAACTGGGTATTATTATTTACATTTAATTTTATTTATTTATTTATTTTGGCCTCCCCTCACAACTTGCAGAATCTTAGTTCCCCAACCAGGGATTGAACCTGGGCCCTGGCAGTGAAAGCGACGAGTCCTAACCACTGGACCGCCAGTGAATTCCCATTATGTACATTTATTTATTTATTTTTAAGACTTTTTTTCTTGGCTGCCCTGCGCAGCGTGTGGGATCTTAGTTCCCTGACCAGGGATTGAACCTGCGCCCCTTGCATTGGAAGCATGGAGTCTTAACCACTGGACCGCCAGGGAAGTCCCTATGTACATTTTAGAAATAGAGAAACTTAAATGCAAAGAGATAGGTAATTTGCCCAGCATCACATATCTAGTACATGATAGAGCGGGGTTATAACCCATTTGTACCACAGTCATTCAAGGTTCAAAAGGTCACAAAAAGTAGAGTTGAAAGCAGCTCCCACAATTTATGACAAAAGCAACACACTCTCCATTGATATTTTACATCAGCGATCTCCAACCTTTTTGGCACTGGGGACTGGTTTTGTGGAAGACGGTTTTTCTACAGACTGGTGGGGGGAGGGGGAGAATGGTTCAGGTGGTAATTCGAGGAGCCCCAGAGCAATGGGGAGCCCCAGAGAAGCTTTGCTCCCTTGCTGCTCACCTCCTGCTGTGCAGCCCTGTTCCTAACAGGCCGTGGACCAGTATTGGTCCATGGCCAGGGGTTGGGGACCCCCGTTTTAGATGAAAAGTAGAAAATGAACATATGCTTCCTGGATATCATGCTGCGTGCTGACCTGAGAGGATTAGTAACGTTAAAAAAAAGAAAAAAGGGCAAGCAGACACAAATATATGTACTTTTTTCTGTATTTCTATATCTACTTAATCTAGATCTTTTAAAAAATATTAAAAACTGTAAATTAATCCTAGTACCTCCAATTCCAGTCAACACCACAGGGTAGAGTCTAGTCTTACCTTTCTTTTTCCATATCAGTACTCCCTCACTTTCTGTTTTTGAGGACCTGTTACTATTGTTGTTGATAAAAGTGGCCCATGGGTGGTGTGAGGGATTCATATATAAGGAGCAAAGCAGAACCACTAAATGCACATGGGTGCATGGCTTGGGCCATCATGGCAGCCAGGCTCAGAATTTAGGAGCAGACTGCTTAGATCCCAGACCCACGAATAATGGTATTTGTTTACTCTCAAAGCCAAAATTCCTCCCTTATTAAGGTATACTGAATTCAAGTCATAGTTAGAGTTTAATTTTTATTAGTAGCTTATCTTTTTGCTTTTGTACTGTCTTTATTGCAAGGATTTTCATATCGTAAATATCTTTAGATCCACAATTGTTAAGTCTTTATAGAGTAACTCTTGTACCGTTATCTTTCCCGTGCCTTCTTTTCACCTCACTTCCCCTTACCCTGCTTATGTGTAGTTTGATACCCAACCCATTCTCAAGCTTTCACCTGCTTAGCTCCAGCGGCAGAAGTAAATTGGCCTTCTGTATGCCTGGGATGGTTGTCTGACGTCTCCCCCTGCCGCCCCTTTACTTTGTGGTGTAGGGAGGACAATGCAACTGCACCAGCAGAACCAGAACTGGGCCTGAGCAAACCATGCTGTAATACTGTGCTTAGTTTTCTCATTGGGTGGCACAGGCCTTTAGCACAGGGCATGATTAAGGGTAACCATCTTCTGGAAAAGGTCTTAAATTACATCGGGTTACTATGCCAGAATCATTCATTAACATTTTTCCCCCCTTTTCCCTAGAGCTGGTACTCAAGGTGAGGATTCAGAACCCATCTCTTCGAGAAAATGATTTCATTGAAATTGAACTGGACCGACAGGAGCTCACCTACCAAGAATTGCTCAGAGTGAGTTGCTGTGAGCTGGGTGTTAATCCTGATCAAGTGGAGAAGATCAGAAAGTTACCCAATACTCTGGTTAGAAAGGTAAGAAAGGTCTGTTAAGTGGTTGCTTTTTCCATTTGGAAAATACCCAGCTTCCTCCTTGGGTATGTGAGTCATAGTTGAAGAAACGAGAAGAGAATAGAAAAAGAGCAAAGGGTGTTTTTCCATTGAGCTTTCTTTCCTCTACTGGGCCTATAGAGACATTGGCATTTCTGAAAGTGGTAGGATACCAGAGAGAATGTTCTGAATTTACCATTCACAGGTACCTATTTTTGGTTGTTTCTCTTTAGTGATCTGTAAGGATTACCTTAGTGCACTATCACATGTGCCTTGTGTTTTATAACATAAGAACCAGGCTAAATTATAGTGCAAATCTACATAGATACATGTGTGGTCCTCCCAACATCTCTGGGTTCCCTGAATGTCAGGCTTCTGGCTTCTCGGGGCCCCTGAGGAAAACATCCCTGCACTGCCTCTCCCTTCGAGGTGTGCTTATCTTGTAGCAACTGCTGTTAAGGCCTTCTACCACTCCAACCCAGTTCACGCTCCTGGGGAGTTTCCTGCACTATCACTGGTATCAGCACAGCACACCAAACACATAGAGACAAGCGGCTCCTCTTAATCTGTTTAACCTATTTTTGTTTTAGGACAAAGATGTTGCTCGACTCCAAGATTTCCAGGAGCTGGAACTGGTTCTAATGATAAGTGAAAATAATTTTCTGTTCAGAAATGCTGCATCCACACTGACTGAAAGGCCTTGCTACAACAGGAGAGCTTCAAAACTGACTTACTAATGCAGCAGGGACTTTTATCACAGAGTACTGTGACAGTGTGCATCACCTCTGGGCCAAGGACAAGCCATTGATCTAAATGCCTTGGATGCCCCGGAGGGCCCCTGGTGCCACTGCGTCGGATACACTAACATCGTTCTGCCAAGGTAGGAAGCCCCTGACCCCGAGCAGCGGTGCCACTCTTCCGAGCCTCTTGGTGCACAATAAACCTATTGCTGGAAGCTGTGAACAGCTGAGAAGTGGCCTGGAGAGGCAGAAGCCGACGGTTCTATATCCAGTGTGTTTTTTGTGCAGAATGTAAGAGAGTTGTCTAACAGAAGCTGAGAGAGAGCAGAGCCTATTTCTAGCTAGTCCTGTTGACAGTGCACCCGAAGGGCCGGGAAGCGCTTCTCTTGGTGTTGCATGTTCACGACTCTCCAGAAACGTGAACTGACTAGAGAGGAAAACTGGGGCAAGCACAGGTACTGGACATAGGAATTTTGGTGTGACTTGTGGCTGTGAGGTTTCACATAACATAGTTATAAATGTTACTCAGGTTAAAATTATTTAAGAATACAGTTACCTAATTGTAAATATGCTGTTAACCAAAAGAGCTTCCCCTCCCTGACTTTTTCCGTTGTAAACACTCGACTGCTTCTGTCTCTAGATTGCCATTGCCTACAGTCATCTCTGCATTAACGCCCCTTCGTGGTCACTAGAGGGCTCTCTGATGCCTTCTAAAAGAGCAACAGCTTTTTTTTTTTTTTTTCTTAACTGAAGCGATCCCTGTCTTCGTGTTTCTGTTTAATTGCACCGAAAGAGAAGAGCACAAACATTGCCAGTCCATGTTCTCCACTTTCATTTTCCACTACAGATGAAAAGCAATTTTCCAGACTGAATCCTTTGCTATTTTAAAGGTTATTGTGGGAAACTGAGCTAAAAGGAGTTAGCATCTTTATTTTTGTATCAAAGATAAAGATTATTTTGAAACTATTGGGATTTTTACACAGCTCTGAAATCTGTTGCTTTTGTAAACAAGTTGTTTGATCTTGGGCATCCTCCATAACCACCACCAAGCCACTTAACAAAGTCAGTTGTGAGTCTGCCAGGCTTTGTTCTCAAAACAAATACCTGATTAAACTCTTGAGCATGGCATAAGAATTTTTCTAAAGAACGCATTTAAGGATTCTTTTCCTTCCCTTCGGTGTCATTAACGTTAAAAAGAAAAGCTACTGTCTTGTTGAAATAAACAGCTTAACTTTAGAAACCAGAATGAGCACACTTAGACAAACAGGAGAGCAGGGGTTTGAAGCCAGCTGTTGAAGAACATCCCTGCTGTCTTAAGAAGCTTTCTCCCCATAGTGCCTATTGTTTCCAAAGAAACTTAACTTCCTAACTGTGTTAATTTTATTGGAACACTACAGACTGAGAGAGAACGTGCAGAAGGTGTCAGTGGAAGAGAATGTTGTGCTAAGCTAATGGCCTCCTGCTGCTGCTTAAATGCTGAGCTGTGGTTGAGGTGTTTTCAAGGCCAATGTGGAGTGACTCTGTTCAGTGACTTAATTGTATTACAGCAATTACGGATGGTGAGTTACTCACCCTTGTGCAGTGTTTGCCTAAAAGAGTGTAAAGGTTATTTATTACTCACTTTCTCTGAAGGACTTTAAAGAAGAAACTTCCTTGTGTTTCAACCAGTCAGAAGATAGTCTGTCCAGACAAACTAACACTTTTTTTCCCCTTACCTTGGAAAAAAGTTACAATTTACTGATACAGTTAAGGCTAGTTTTATCCTGGAATAAACAAATTCAGTATTAATTCATGTCTAAATCATTGGGGTTCATACTCTTCCAGCCATCCAGATCAATTAGAAGTTCTTGCAAGCAGTTGAAGCCCCTGGCTGGGAGGTGGCCTACAGAGGAGTAGCTCCAGGGCATTTCCCGGGCTTGGAAATGGAGGCTGCGGGAATCTCCAGTGAGAGATGGGCCCTGCCCTGCTCTCTCTTCTCCCTTATAAAGTCCTCTGTGGTCAACTGACTCTGGCGTATGGCAGTGAATTAGACTGCACAGTTGCTGGTAGGTGAGTTTAAAGTCTTAATCTATGCATTCAGAGAAATATTTTTATATGCTTTGTGTAATTTATAACAAGGATTTATTTTTAGCTTTGTTAACTGTGAATTCACCCCTCCTCCTCCACTGCATATTTAAAGCATGTGCTCACACTGTGTGTAAACATCCACTGAAGATTTTTCTCTTCGTGAACTGCTGACTGTTCAAGCATAACAAGTATTATTAAAATTAAGTATTAACTGACCGAACCCACATTCTTTAATTTTGGCCTCCTAAACAGCACTATACTTATAATACGGGGTTCAAATTGTTGGACAGTTCCAGGGAGAAAACCCTCTGGAGGAAGAATAGGAGGGACTGGGCCCCACCTGAGCCGCCTCCATCCTGCTGCTGCGGTGGCGTGCACGCCTGTCAGTGGCACCGGAGACATATTTTGTGCGGGGTCTTCCTCTCAGTTCACAGCAGTCAGCTTCATTTCCCCAGAGTAGCTGAACCAGCTAGATGGAGGTCATCCTCTGTTAACCACATTTTTTGATTATCCTATTTACTTTACACAACTGAGCCTCTCCTTTGGGCTGTCAGCACCTGTCAGGGCCTCAATGAGCTCAGAGGCAAACTCCCAAGACAGGAGAGGAAATACAGCCTTACACCTTCATATCTTTAGCTGAGAATGATGCCGAATGAATCTGCATTTCTGTTGGTTTGGGGCAGCTAGAGCCTCATAAGCCAGACGTCATGCCAAATCGGCCTGATAAATCAGGGAGCGTAGCAGAGACCTTTTCTTAGCTCCAAGGAGAGGCAGAATAATTTGGGCATTTGTGCTTTCATACTTGCTCTATCACAAGGATGGAAGTCTTCTTCTGTACACTCATAAACATCCTGGGCAGAAACAGCCTGCCAAAAAAAATGTGATTAACCTTTAACAAATAGTCCTGCAGCACAGGCTGGCCTGATGCAGATAGAAAAATCAGATCAAAGGAGCCATCTCCACACCTACTGCAAACCATTTAGGGTGGAGGAAAAAAAAAAAAGCCATCACCCACAACCAGTCACATTATACCAAGAGTAAAGTTTGAAGAAATGGGAGTCAGAGGAGACCAGAAAACTTAGTAAGGTAACAAAGAGAAGAGATCCCTTCCAAATAGAAGGCCATGTGCCAGGTAAATTCTGACCTGCAGAAAAATAAACACTTCATTGGCTTGCTCAAAAAAAGCAAATTTATTTCACTCCCTCATCTCATTTACCAGCCTGGGACTGTCAGGATAGGGGGCCGCCTCTGGCTGCTCTGTGTTCCAATATTCAACTTCAGCCACAGTGAGGAAGATGAATGACTTGGAGACCTCACTGGTGACGGGGACCTGTCCGGAACAGACTGTTAAAGGGGCAAGGAAATAAAGCACCATGCATTTCTCATCCCCTAGAGCAGCGGTCCCCAACCTTTTTGGCACCAGGGACCGGTTTCGTGGAAGACAATTTTTCTGTGGATGGGGTGGGGGGAAGCGGGGTGGGGGAGTGGTTCAGGCGGTTATGCAAGCGATGGGGAGCGATGGAGAGCGGCAGATGAAGCTTTGCTCGCTTGCCCGCTGCTTACCTCCTGCCGTGCGGCCTGGTGCCTAACAGGCCGTGGAGCAGTACCAGTCCACGGCCCGGGGGTTGGGGACCCCTGCCCTAGAGAAGCAGGCGTAGTGGTCTGAGGGATGACATACATGTGGAGGTGTTCGGGACTTCCCTGGTGACGCAGTGGTTAAGAATCCACCTGCCAGTGCATGGGACACGGGATCGAGCCCTGGTCTAGGCAGACCCCACATGCCGCGGAGCAACGAAGTCCGTGCGCCACAACTGCTGAGAGCCTGTGCTCTAGATCCTGCGAGCCACAACTGCTGAGCCCATGTGCCACAACCACTGAAGCCCGCGCGCCTAGAGCCTGTGCTCCACAACAAGAGAAGCCACCGCAATGAGAAGCCCGCGCGCTGCAACGAAGAGTAACCCCCGCTTGAGGCAACTAGAGAAAGCCTGCGTGCAGCAACGAAGACCCAACGCAGCCAAAAATAAATAAATTTAAAAAATAAAATGAACTTAAAAAAAAAAATGTGGAGGTGTTCACAGCAGCTTTCCCAAGAAGCCTCGGGCCAGATTTCAGGGGTTTTATTTCTCACCTTTTTACAGTATCTGCACAGCAGCGCAGGAACTACTGGCAATTACCCAGTGAATTTTGGCTGTGAAGACAATATTTCTAGCCAAAAGTTCTTGGGTCTGAAGTTTTCAGATAATTCCAGCCATGTAGATGTGTATAAAGGTTACCTCTGTCTCTCCCTCCTTCCTCCCTGCCTCCTCTAAAGGTCCTAGCTCCCAGACCTTGTGAACAGAGAAAGGCTACATTGGGGTGTATGTATTGTTGACACGTAGCTTTATTTTATCAGCGCTCCATTTTTAATGGATCCAGGCCAGCACCCCAGAGTACCAGACTCAGTTCCTAGGGACGGCCTGACCTGCCAGTCTTCTGTTCCAGAAGGAAAAAGCTTTATTAAAAAAGAAAAAACTTCAGAGTAGAAAATATGAAAAATCATGGGGGTAGGGAGGTCATGCCATGAAATGATTGAAAACAGTACAGTGTGGAAATAACACCACATTGGGAATCAGGAGACCTGGGGACTAGTCTGGGCTCTGCCTCAAATTAGCTATGACTTTGGGCATGTCATTTGCCTCTTGGGCTTCACCTCCTCACCTGAAGCATTTAGCATGGTTATCCTGCCAGGCACTTAACAGGGACAAAAACCTGACAAATGCCCCCAGCGTTTGCCATCAAGTCCGTTCTGTAGACATATCTGGTGTCCTTACCCTTCCTGATGAAAACCAGGAATGTCCAGGAAGAAATCCCAGGAATACATTTTACGCAAGTCCAGCATCTCTGGCCATCCCGTAGAAGATGCCTCTGGCTGCAATGAGGTTGGTTGGAGA